TGTATCTCATAATTTTATAGATTTCTATCAAGTCTCCCCTCAGCCTCCACCCCTCCAGAGAAAACAACCCGAGTTTTTCTAGCCTCTCCTTAAAGCTCATACCCTCTAATCCAGGCAACATCCTGGTAAACCTCTTCTGCGCCCTCTTCAAAGCCTCCACATCCTTCCTGTAAATGTGGTGACCAGAACTGAACACAATACTCTAAGTGCAGCCTAACTAAAGTCTTATAAAGCTGCAACATGACATTCTGACTCTTGTACTCAATTCCCTGACCAATAAAGACAAGCATACCATATACCTTCCTTACCACCCTATCTATTTGTGTGATCACTTTCAGGGAGCTATGGACTTGAACTCCAAGATCTCTCTGTTCATCAATGTGTTCAGGATTTTGCCATTAACTGTATACTTTTCCTTAACATTGGATCTCCCAAAGTGCACTTGGATTAAATGGATTAAACTCCATTTGCCATTTTTCCGCCCATATCTGCAACGGATCTATATCCCGCTGTATCCTTTGACAACCTTCTACACTATCCACAACTCCACCGATATTTGTATTGTCTGCAAACTTACTAACCCGCCCATCTACATTCTCATCCAAGTCATCAGTCACAAACTGCAGAGGTCCCAGTACCGATCTCTGCAGAGTATCACTATTCACAGACCTCCAGCCTGAAAAACAACCTTCCGCCACTACCACTTCTATGGGCAAGCCAATTCTGAATCCACGTGGCCAAGTCACCGTGGATTCCATGTATCTTAGTCTTCTGGATGTGCTTTGTTGAAAGCCTTACTAAAATCCATGCAGGCAACATCCACTGCTCTACCCTCATCAATCACTTTTGTCACCTCCTCAAAAAATTCAATCAAGCTAGTAAGACATGACCTGCGCTGCACAAAGCCATTCTGACTGTCCCTAATTAACCCATGCTTTTCCAAATGCGTGTAAATCCTATCCCTAAGAATTCTCTCCAATAGCTTCCAAACTACCAGTGTGAGACTCATTGGTCTATAGTTCCCTGGATTATCCCGAGTTCCCTTCTTGAATAGGGAAACAACATTAGCTACTCGCCAGTCCTCCAGGACCTCCCCAGTGGCTAATGAGGATACAAAGATCTTGATGAAGGCCCCACCAATCTCCTTTCTTACCTCTCTCAATAACCTAGGGCAGAAACTATCCGGCCGTGGGGGCTTACAAAGTACTCATTTAGGATCTCACCCACATCCCAAGCCTCCAAGCACAAATTCCCTCCTTTATCCTTGAGTGGTCCTACTTTCTCCCTAGTTATCATCTTGTTTTTTAATGTATGTTTAGAATGCCTTGGGATTCTCTTTAACCCTAATTGCCAAGATGATTTCATGGTCCCTTCTTGCTCTCCTAATTCCCTGCTTGAGTTCCTTCCTGCTTTCCTTATGTTCCTCATAGGTCCTCTCTCATTTTAGCTTCCTAAAAGTTACATATGCTTCGTTTTTCCTTTTGACGAAATTCACAACCACCTTTGTTATCCAACGCTCCCTTACCTTGTCCTTCCTCCTTACTGGAACATGCTAGTCTTGAACTCTCCCCAGCAGGTCTGTTAACAAATCTTGCACGTCAAATGTGGAATTGCCTGATAACAGCTCCTCCCAATTAACTCTCCCTAGCTCCTGCCTATTACTGATGTATTTTGCCCTTGCCTAATTTAGTACCTTGCCACAAGGTCCTGACTTACTCTTATTCAAAGTTATGTTAAAAGTAAGGAGTCATGATCACAGTTTCCAAAATTTTCTTTGACTGAAAGGTCAGTCACCTGACCAGGCTCATTAGCCAATACAAGGTCCAGTATGGCCCATCCTCTGGTTGGACAATTCACAAACTGTTTCAAGAATCCCTCTCGGATGCACTTAACAGATTCTGCCCCATACAAGCCTCTGGCTCTAAAGGAGGCCCAGTCAATATTGGGGAAGTTAAAGTTACCCGCTATGACAACTCTGTTTTTATTGTACCCTACCAAAATATGCCTGCGTATTTGTTCCTCAACGTCTCGGTGGCAGTTGAGGGGCCTATATTATAACCCAATCAGAATAATTGCACTCATCTCGTTTTTGAGCCCTACCCATATGGCCTCAGTGGAAGAGCCCTGGCAGTGTGTCCTGTCTGAGGGCAGATGTAACATCCTCCCTGATTAGTAATGCAACTCCTCCACCTCTTTTACCTTCCTCTCTATCTTGTCTAAAACTACAAAATGTTCGGCAGTTAGTCCTATCCCTCTCTCAACCAAGTCTCTGTAATCGCCACAACATCATAGTCCCATGTACTGATCCAGGCTCTAAGCTCATCTGCCTTACCCATAATACTGCTTCTATTGAAATAAACACTCCTCAGCCCATTAGTACCATCATGTTCATTTACCTGTCTCTGCCTATTGTTTATTTCCAATTTACTGGTACTAACATCCACCTTCACCTCAATCCCTCCCCTTGCTGACCTGCAAAGGAAGGCATAATGTTAGTGTCAATGAGCTCCTAATGCATAGGCCGGGATAAGATCATAAAACCATATCAAACAGGACCAGGAATAGGCTGTTCGTGCCCTCATGTCTGATCCACCATTCAACAGCATCATGGCAGATCTGACATTCCTCACTTTCGAATGCTTAAATTCAATAAATTAACCCCAATGGTGGTGACCCTGAAACTACCATCAATTGCTGTAAAAGTCCATCTGGTTCATTAATGCCCTTTAGGGAGGGAAATCTGGCATTCTCACCTGGTCTGGCCGCCATGTAACTCCAAATCCACAGCAACATGGATAAATTTTAACTGCCCCTTGAAGAGGCCTTATCAAGCCACTCAGTTCAAGGGGCAATTAGTAATGGGCAACAAACACAGGCCTTACCCGTGACACCTCCATCCCATGATCTGAATCACTTTTGAAAGAAAAATGGTCTCTAATAAAGGAGAGAATTCATGATAAGCAGACTTGGGAATGTAGAACTCAATACTATACCACAAGGAGTAGATGTGGTGAACAGCGGAGATTCACTTGAGGAGATGTCGGATCAGTACAGGAGGAAGAGGGATTAGACAATGAAAGGTAAGGTCACCATAGTCCTACTGGACCACTGGGCTGCTCTCTCATTAGAGAGCGAACAAGAGAAAGAAAGAGAGAGAGACAACTGGTGGTGGTTTAACCTGAGGGTCACCAAACCCCAGGCAAGGGGAGAGGGAGAGTGCTTCATGGTCACTTCAGCCAGGACAGGAATTGAACCCACGCTGTCGATGTCACTCTGTGTCATAAACAAATGAAAGAGTTAAAGGGGACCTGAGAGATAACTTTTTTACATAGAGGGTGGGACATATTGGAATGAGCTGCCAGAGGAGGTGGTGGAGGTGGGTACATTTCCAACATTTAAAAGCCATTTGGACAGATACATGGATAGGAAAGGCTGAGAGGGGTATGGGCCAAAATTAGAAAGTGGGGCTAGTTTAGTTAAGAAACCTGGTCAGCATGGACAGGTTGGGCTGAAGGGCCTGTTTCCGTGCTGTATGCCTCTATGAGGCGAAATGAAGTGGTTGGAGAAGGGTTGTGTTGAACAGAAACATTGGCCATTCAGAGATAGTAAGAACTGCCGATGCTGGGTGGAGCTGGAGGAACACAGCAGGCCGGGCAGCATAGGAGGAGCAGGAAAGCTGATGTTTCGGATCGGGACCCTTCTTCATTGGCCATTCTCCTTTTTATTATTGGATGACTGTAACTGGAAGCTGTTCCATAAGAGGACTTTGTGAATAGAATTTCACTTCAATCCACTTCAGTTTTTACTCTCGCCATGTAACTAATGGCTTGTGAAGGCAGCACTCATCAATGAGACTTCTAGCTTTGAGATCTGATACTTGAAACAAGGTGAGGCTCCCGCATTTTACATTTGTTTAATTGCAGTGTTGCCTGTGGCAATGTTCTTTACTTCCTGTGAGAGGGCAATGAAGGCGAGGCTAACCCTCCCCCCATGCTGCCTTCACCTTTACCCACCAGTGAGCAATCAGTGCCCAGGCCCTGGCCAGGTTTCCCAGCTCTGTGCTGTGTGTGTGTACCAGGCAGGAGCCATTCAGGAAAAGGGAGCTGCAGGAATGACCTGAGAAATAATGGGCAGAGGGAAAAGTGTAACTCTGGTCTGACAGGCCCACAGCTGTTCACTATCAGGAAACACACCTTAGGAGGACTCGCAGCCAGGAAGTCTGCCTGTTCTTCCTCTCCCTTACGATCCACTTTTCTTCCCCTGAATCCCTCTGATTACTGTCTGCCTCTGTTTCTCCTCCTCTTCCTTCCCTCTCTCCTCTTTTGCCCCTTCTCCTCTTTCTCTCTCTCACTCCCTCCCTTTGTCTCTCCGTTTCCATTCCCTTCCTGTCTCTCTGTCCCCTTCTTTCTCCCCCTCTTCCTCTCTCTGTCTCTCCCCTCCCTTTTCTTTGCCCCTCCCTCCTCTCTTTCACCCCCACCCCCCTTCCCCCAGCTCTCCATCAATCCTCCCTCCCTCTGCTTTGTCCCTCTCCTGCCTCTCCCTCCTTCTCTCCTGGCAAAGAAAACGCTCGATCCATTTGCAGAGAATTCGCCCGCAGGATATATCACATCAAAACTAATCATAACGATTAAAATCAGCTTTCTGTAGAGAGCCAGGGAGGGAGGGAGAGAGAGTAATGAGCAAGTTGGTGCTGACTGTTGCACAGAGAGAGGAAAAAATACTGGAACTGAAAATTAACCAGCGTGATTGTGAAATGGAAATAAAAAAGAACAGGAACACAAAAAACTACATACAGAACAAAAGAAATGCAGAAAAATCCGTGCTGCACCTGGGTGCACAGTTAATTAAATGTAACTTTTCTTTGCAGATTGGGTTAGACGCGAGAAGCCGCAATGAGCTAATTGTATCCTGATCCTTGCCTTGGGGGGTTTAAAAGCCCTAGAGCAACTATTTCCCTCTCTCTCTCTCTCTCTTTTTGCCTACCTTAAGCCAGCTATTGGAAGACGGCTGTTTGCAGTTCTCTCCCGTGTTAGCGAGCACAGCACACCAAGACTGTCTGAGCGAGAGGCCAGCTGCACCTACTCCCTGATGTTCCATGTTCCAGGTAAGATGCAATGGTGTGTGCAGGAGGACAGGGCTACACAAAGCCTCTCTCTCTCTCCCAGTCTCTGTGTGTGTGTGTGTGTGTGTGTGTGTTTTGATTTGTGTGTTGCTGGGACTTTGGGGGACGCTGCTGCTTTTACGCATGTGCCAAGCAGTCGGGATCTGAGCACCATAGACAGACAGAAAGACAGGAGAGAGAGAGATAGACATTGAAAGGAGAGAGAGAGAGAGAGAGAGATACCCAGGAGAGATACCCAGGAGAGACAGGAGACAGGAGAGAGGGAGAGATACCCAGGAGAGACAGGAGAGAGGGA